AAACAAGAATACGCTTCCATTGCAAGAACATTATTACTCACCATGCATACATTTGAATGAGTGTCAGCTTGGCCAGTTTCCGTGTCTTAAAGAGTTCCAAGAAACCTTTATTGGTTGTAGTCGCTGGGACTTGAAGTTCGTCGCTTGGCATGTCTTTCTTGTTGACCCTTGCTACGTTCGACAAGATTTCTCGGGCTTCTTCTTTGCTTCCGTTTACGAGTAGCCACCGCACAGATTCTGGAATAAATCTTCGAACAAAATTCGGGTTAGTCTACGCCGAGCTCCATTTTAACTTTTAACCGGCCCTGTGCATAGAACAATTAGATTACGAGCTCGAGATTTCTATCGTGCGACAGTTGTTGGCAAGGGATGAGCAGTTTGTGTCAGCTATAACGCAGAGAAATCTCTAGCTCATAATCTAATGGTCAATTCCCTCTGTGATATGCGCCTCAGGGAATCATGTTTGTTGTATTCATCATCTTGGAATGGATATTTATTTTGATGACTGCAACTACCATGATTCCCTGCAGGCGGGAAATGGCCATTGTCTTACGATAATTCTACTAGGGGCATTGAATGGTCCCATTCAATTTAAAAGTGCTCGCAAAATTTGGTCTGCGGCTCGCTTGCTCGTGCTCGCAAAATTTTTGCAACTGCTCGCATGCTCGGATTCGTGCTAAAACTCTCTGCCGTGTAGCGGAAGCATTATTTGCATCTTGAAAACAAAATTGACGCTGGAAACAACGTTTTTCCCGTTTTGCAAAACTGGGAAACGTCGGAAAAAAATGCAAGCGCTTTGAATGTTTCCGGAAACATTCATTCTGGAAACATGCTTCCTCGTTTTATTGAAACTGACGCACGTAGCAATTCTTCGCGAAAGGCACCCGCAAAGGTAGAAGGTAATCCAGAGACATGAGGACATGAGGAATATTAGTATTACTATTCGACCTCAAGAGTTTTTCAGAATTGCATGGCTCATTCTCTACAACAGCTAGAACAGATAGCGAGTTAACAAGAGAACGACATTCGTGATAGATCGTTAGTAGAATTTATACTAAAAATAGGTAAAGAATAGCCTTTACGCACGAGGACATCACTAAAGAAAATTTCATCACCAAGCCTCGCTTTGAAGATGCAAATTGCAATTTTAATCGTGCACAAATTCCCAAAACAGCAAAGATGAAAAGGATACCCTCGCGAAAACTGAACACGACGGTGCAAGAGGTTTGAGAAAATTCTCGCAAACGAGGCTTCGTAGTGAATTTTCAGCGTTTGACGTAATCATGAATAAGGCCTGTTAACGACCGCTTGACAAGTGATTTTGTTTTGCGGGAAACCCTCCTGGTAGATTCGATCGTGTCTCTTATTGGAGTAACAACCAATCAGAATCTAAGTAGAGCTACGTAATCAGAATGGAGTTTTTCAGTCCCAGTCTCACACGTCTGTTTAACAAGGGGGAGAATTGAGCCCAAAAACCTTTTTAACCGTAGGTTAGCAACTTAAGATAGTGAATTAGTCTAGCCACAAAGTGGTTTAAGTGCTCAAGGGCAGAAAAATGGTAAAGTCTGCATACGAGCCAAGTGGCCCATCAGGCCGGCGCTTATCTGCGGTTTCTATAGCATGAAGCGACTCGAAGTATTTCCACACCCCTCTATATAGGACGCTAGTCCATCGCAAGGATACCTAAAGCATTAAATGTTTCGGTACCCAGTTATACACCTGGTTGGAAATGTCCCCAGCCAGGGCTCGAGCCCGGACCGCTCAGTCGGGAGGCAAGCTCACTAACCATGAGGCAACCGCGCCTTTACAAGCGCTCAAGGAGGATTCGGTAAACTTACCATGCGATTAACTTACTTCCAAAATGCCAGAGTAAAAATCCACGGAGCTGATGATAAGATCAGAAGTGTGCGCCAGTCACGTACAAAATAGGCGATAAGACCCAGAATCATCAGGGCTGCCGTGAAGTAAAACCACACCACTATCCCTGCCAAGGCTCGCTTCTCAGGTCCAACTAGTTCAGTTGCTAAAACGAACATTGAAAGTAGACAGCCAACCTCAAAAAATCCGACGATGAAACGACACACAGCGACGATCCAGAAGACCTTTGCAAATGCCATTGCAAACGAGAAGAGTAGTACAATCAACAATGAAGGGAAAAGAACACTTTTGCGGCCATATTTGTCGGCTAAAGAACCAAGAATGATGGCTCCAACTGCCTTACCGAAAAACAATATGGCGCCGCTAGCTAGCCATGCCATGAAGCCACGACTGCAGACCAAGTCAAACTGAAAAAAACATCAAGAATAATAAATCAAACAATTAATTCAATGCCTTAAATGCTTTTGTCTTTATTTTGTTTTAAACGTTTAAGCGAATTTGGTGGAGCCATAACTTGTGTTTTGGCGAGACCCAATCGAGCTAAATACCTCACGATGGCGAGACAAAACGAGCCTGACACACAGCTGAAGATTGCCATAAAGCTATGATTATGTAAGCTTATGTTGTTACCATACTGAAAAAACGGCCATACATCCGGCCATATCCGGTCAGAAACTTAGCAGACGGTCCTGATTGGCTTAAATCGAATTTGGGTGGGGTAATGTAGAAGAGCCGATGCTTCATTTTACATCATTGCGCGAGGCCAAATACAAGGCTGTGCCCGCTAGAGATGTCGACCCGTAAATTAGAGACATCCGCGAGCTATTTTGAGAGAACACTGAGTGGTATTAGTTATTTAACAAATAAAGAAGCCTAAGTCGTGTATTATACTGTGATAAAACACGACGGGAATTTGAGACAACGTGAGAAATGTAAAAAAACACGAGCCACGCTTTTTCTATGTTTTATTTAAGCAATAGACCGCTCTTTCTATGGGTTTACCGGCGCAATAAACCACGCGGGATGTTGGGAGATCACGAGAAAAACCAATCACAGCGACTGAAAGAATGAAAGCCCAGACTCCGTGCCGGACACGAAATCCGCAGAGCAAAGCGACAAAAACATTTCACGCTAAGAAAGTTTTAACAAGTGAAAGGAAAAGGTTATCGGTGAAAGGCAAAAAGAATATTAATTAACTCACAAGTATTCTGACGGGGAAATGCAGGGATTCGTGGGTGGAATCGGTCATCACGAAGGTAAAAGGCTGTACAAAAAGTGTGCAAGTAGTCCAAAGTTCATGTGCTTGGCGACGTCAGGATTCAACACAGTGTTTAATGATAACTTTCCAAAGTTTTGCGAATCGAATAAAGGTTAGTTACAGAAACGCTGCTTCCAAAATTTATTCAGAATTTAATTACTTATGTTGAAGGTTTTGAATTCCGTGTTTCTCGGTATTTTGCTAAATGAAAACTATTACCTGAAAGCTAAGCTTATGGAAACCAAATTTATTTATCGTGTTACACATGTATGCATTGAATTTAAACTCAAATTTTCTGATAGAAGTATTTTCCCTGCTTTCTTGACAACTCAAATTGATCAGTCAAGCCCAGCTGACTCCGGCCTCCACAGACCGTGGAGAGCACCGAAGGATTTAAAACTTCCTTAATTTTAATCTCAAGCGTAACCGGAGTCGACGTAAAACTCTACCGTGGAAAAAACAGATAAAGCTTTATAAAGACGACCAACTTCTGGTCCTTTTTTTCCTTGCAAATTTCTATGTTCAATGAAAAGATATTCGTGTTACTGATATCTCAGCCAGTGAAAGGCAAAACTGTTTATTACCTTTGCTATCGCTAGAGTTCCGAGTTCTCTTGACTAGTTCCCTCGCGTATATAGAGCTGCCATAGGTCGGGAACCGTGGTTTACGGGTACAATAGAACACAGGTTTAGCAACTCTATTGACCAATCAGAGCGTGCGTAGTATCTCAGTTATTTTGTAAACTGCGATAAAACATGGGTTTTTGACCAATCAGAGCGCCCGTAGGGTCCTATCTATATTTAAATATTAATTATTGACACTCTCGAGATCAGCACGGTCTTCATTGTGCAATAAACGACGATAAACCTTTATTTTAGCCCGGAATATCACTGTAGTATCAAATAACTACTATTAATCCAAAAAAGATCAAAATCTTGGAATAAAACTCCTGAAAGGTAACTGGTTGAAAATATAAATGCCTTATGTGAAAAGTTTACATAACCCGTGAGGACATTCGCGCCCAGAATGTTCCACTACAGGTTTTTTAAAACTTGCCATGCAGAAAGGGAAATAGCAACCTTTACCAAAAAGTTTAAAAACATGGGAGGTCACCGTGTTCGTTTTCGAAATAAGGTGCATTGCAGACTATGCGTTTTTAGAAGCTTTTGTTATTTTAAGACGATCTTTGCGTACAACTATCAGAGATAAAAGAAACTGAATTAGGTCAGCTAAACGCACTCAATTCAACACAAGTAAGTATGTTTAAAAGTAAACTTTTGAAGCTGACGTCGTTCCTTGAGGTAGAATAGGCCTTGACAAAGAACAAATATTAGTCTTGCCCGTTCACATTTAAAGAAAACTTCCGTCACACAAGAGCAGAAAAAGACAAATATTTGTAACCTCTCATCTACAGATTTTGTCTGTTTTTAGTTAAAATGGAGAAAATTAGTAAAGAATGTGATCTATGAAAAGAAGGGGTCACCGACTATTTAAAGTGGCCTTCATACAGCAAACTTTAAAAGTCGGCAAACTTGCGTTGGCAAACTTCAAAAAGTTTCAAGTCACACGTCAAACTGGCGTCAAATCACAACACACGGTAATTTGCAATACGGGCCGACTTAGTGCAGTGGCATTCACGTAGAACAGTGAAAGAGAAGAAGAGGAGATAAGAAACAGAAAGCGGTGGAGAAATAGAAAGGTTTGGACGAAACCCAGTTTGTCTGCTAGTTCCTCCATTTTCTTTTGTTTGTTTTTAGTATCTTTGTAGACTACAGATGAAACGTCCCACACAGCCGGACAATTGTGAACCTCTTCGATAAGTTGAAAAGTGGCCTCACGTTTATCTTGAATTGCGTCCGCCATTTACTGCGATGATCATTCTTCACTTTCATCTACAACCGCAGTTCAAATATGAATTATTTCATATATACTTCACATCACTTCACTCCTCACGGGAAGATATGAACTC